ATTTCTTCCTTCTGAAAATCACCCAAAATTCACAACTTAAGAGGTCATTTTCTAGTCCATGCACCATAGCGCATGCAGCACAAGCCACTACCCATGGCACAATGAGAATAATTGTCACCACGCACACTTGCTTCAACACAAAACGCGATCCTTCCACCCATATCTATTCATTTAGCATCCCAGGGAGTCAAATCATCATATAATCATCCAAATCTCTAATCCGATACTAATTACTACTTTACCCTTGATTAATAACTAATCACAAGATTATAAAATTTAGAATGTTACATCAGAGGTATCAGGAGAATATAAGGTTGGCATTGATCATGCATTTATAGTTCTAGCCACCTGGTTGTTATTATTATGGTCTGGCGTGTCTTTTAGGGGCATATGGTTATTATTTTTGCATCCCCGAGATGTGTATAGTTGAGATATATTTGATGATATGTGTCGTACACCCAGTTACTTGGTTGTTCTTTTGTGTCCAAGGCTATATATGATATATGTGTATGTGATATTTGAGTTTATTTTAGTTTACATCCATAATTAATTGATATGCAACTGTATAGGTTAGGTTAACCTTGATTATTAAGTGGTTGTACTCACCCCTTATTTATTAACATTTTAGGGCCTAGCTTACCATATCAGAATCAAGAAAAATGAGTGGAGGCTTAGGATCATGTGTAAATCCTAACAGTAGGCTTCTAGATTTACTTTGATATGTGTTTCAATTATTAATTTGCCAACTAGAATTTCATTCTATTTTTTGATTACTTGCAATGTAATTAAGAAAATCTTATGTATTTTGTGTCTGAAGCTAGTAATATGTGATTGTAAAGCTTGTATAGGATGAAAATACTAGTGCAGGTAGGGTAAAGTGTATTTGGTATGGCATGGCTGAATATTTGACGGATTTATGCATTGTAGCTCCCCTTTATATGTTTTAAATTAAAGGGCTGAGTGTTGAAATATTAATATATATGTTGCTGAATGAATGTGATGTGTTAACATGTCCAAAATGGTCCATTGAGTATGATTTAAGGGTTAGTGTAGGCTTTTGGCACCTTTATTGTGGTTTAGGCACCCTAGTTGTGAATTATTGTGAAAAAGGAGTGAGTTTGTTAAGGGTGTCTGACTTTTGATAGAAAAACAATTTGATTATGAACTAGCACCATTAGCTTGAGCTAAGAGAAAGCTCCATGTAGACACCTAAATCACCTCAATCGGACGTCAAATGGAGAAACAGGACACATCAAAAGTTCATCTCGGGTGCTGTCATATAATGGCAAAATTTGCTATCAAAACTTGTGCAATATGCTGTGGCACATGTGTTGTTTTGTGCACAATTCACTATTGGGCGTTTATATGCAAATGTTTGATTCTTTCTCTGATCCACATGCTTCTGCATATGTTTAAGACTCTAATTTTTAAATGTTGAAAGTGTATGGGGGTTATTTTAAAATGTGAAAACTTGGATTCCCTATTTATGCAATTTTACAAACATGGTAATCTTTATTGGGGTTAGACTAGGCCTGTGCAGGATGCCCATAAGCTCGAGATCCCAGCCCAACCCGAGCAAAATATGCCCAACCCGAGCCCTAAAAAAATTGCCCAATACTATTTGGGCATGGTCGGGCTGAGCCCGATCTTTGGGCTAGGCAGGGTTTAGGGCTGGCGTATCCAACCAATTGACCCTGCCCGACCCAAGATATAATATATTTTTTATAAAAATAATAATATAGGATGTAATTTGTTAACTTAATGGGGACATAAATGGTAGTTTTTTTTTTTTTGAAGTGCCTTGATGATCAAGTTTGTAAACCTTAGGTTGAATATTTCTATATTCCTTAGAATTTGGAACTGAACAGCACTTGTGACTTACATGAAAAATTCCTTTTATATTTGCTTTGCCATTAAGTTTTTTGATGACACCATAATATTTTTGCCGGTGATATTTAACAATCTATTACTTTTAAAATAAGAGCTTGAAGTGATCTATTGATGGAAATAATTAATCTACTACAGTGTATTTCATATTTGTATGGATGGTTCTGATTCTTTATTTTGGTAGGGCAAGGCTGGAGACCGTACTCAAGGTGCCTAATCCCTGCCTGACCCTGCCCGCCCGGCCCCTTTAAAGTTGAGCATCTTTCGGGTAGGGTCGGGCTTTGGGTATAGTTTTTTTGCCCGAAGATATTTAGGGCAGGGCATCGAGTTAATGGGCTGCCCTACCTGACCCTGCCCATACACAACCCTAGGTTAGACCTTTGATTACTTTGGATTTGGTAGTTACTTGTGTTTAAGAAGATCTTACATCCTCTATTCTTTGTTCTATAAATATTCCCCTTATGTGCTCTTTGAATTAAGTTTTATGAATGAGAATTTTTTCTTAGAATTGATAACTTTGTGTTGTGAGTTGTACTTGCTTGTAAGTATCTTGTGGTGAATATAGGCACTATCAAAAGTTTAATAAACTCTTATTGTGTTTTCAAAGGCTAAGGTTACTAGAAGCTAATGCTCTCAAGATCTTTACCTAGACCTTATCTTTTTCTTTATCTTTTCCTTCCTTCTATCTTGTTTTCTTTCTTTGTTGTTTCGTTTCTTGTGTGTTTTCAAATTCTATCCTAAACTAGCACCATCCTACTTCCACCTATCATATTACAGAGTCTTGAGTTCAAACCTCCACTAGTCAACTTGAGGCATTTATCTTCTTGTGGCCAGCATCAAAGTTCAAGCTACCATAAGGGCAATTCAGTGCCAGCAGATAGGATTCTAGCAAAGTGAAACTTAAAAAAAAAAAATAATTAATAAGGATACCATTATCATATCCCTTCAAAACGTATTTTTAATTTAATCTCTAATTTTTCAGAATTTTTTAGTCCTAATTTAAAGAAGTGTCCTATCAATGGTCCTATAATGAAATTCTGCCTTCTAAAAGATAATATCCAATTTTTGTCACTATCTCCAAACTACCCTAGAGAAGATTTCGCCATCGCATAATTTTCAAAAAGAAAAGTTGGTGAATGAAAAAATTAGAACCTAAACTTCCAAATTTAAATAAATATTTTTGCCGTCCAAACGCTAATGAAATTGAAGGTGTTGATTATCAAAAGGTTCGTTGACTGGTCCAAGCTGCCCCCAACACTTGAATTAAAAATTCGATTCAAGGTCAAAATTATAGAAAATGACTTCTTTTATGCCGTCGATGTAAAATATATATATATATATATATATATTAGAATATTGTAAAATTGAAGGTCGTTCCTGTCGCCTCAATAACTTGAATAAATGATTATAATTCAATATTTACAAATAATAAATTGTGATTTTTTTTACCACAGTACATTAAAAATATTTCTAATTAAATTAAAGTCGAACATCTACTGGAAAATATATAGTAAATTAAACATCACCAAAATAAAAGTAATATAATTATAGCATCATCATAAATAAGTAAACATTAATTAGGAAGAAATCACATTTATTAAGCGTACGAGTATCTAAAACCATCTAAAATAGATTGTAAACTGTAATGCCAGTACAAACATGTTGATAACTTATAAATAATAGGCTAAATAAATAAATTTAATCTCAAACTATTTTTTGAAGGTTACCTAGTATCTAATAAAGGTGGTATAAAATAAATAATAAACTATTAAAAATGGAGCGGTTAACATCTCACATCTAAAATGAGATTTTTTTTTTTTTAACTCAATACTGACACTTGAAATAAACCAACGATATACCAATTTTAAAAGAATGTGTACAAAATTTCCCAAAATACTTACTAGTACATAACAAAAATACCATTTAACCTTATATATATATATATATATATTATACTTTAATTATAGACGGACACAACTTGTAGGTAGACCCAGATCCCAATGTAACTTTAACATCATTAGATATTTAGGACTGTCTGATTGTTAGAAGTTATGACAATAAATTGGATTAAAAAAACAAGACAAAAACAAAATAATCAAATGCAGCCAACCATATTTATAAAGGAAAAATTAATTAATTCATAAAATTAAAAATCATGATTTATAAAATTTGTGAAATATAGTGTTTTTTCCACAAGTATAATATGTAATATTAAATTTTATTATATTCTCATGTCAATTTAATTCATTTTCGTTTTGATTTATTTAATCTATTCTATTTTCATTCTTTCTAACAACTAATCAGATCATTAATCTTAAATCATTTTAATTTTAATCTAACTAACGTGGAAAAATCAAACATACAAATGGCTTATTATTATGCCCCTTTGGATAAGCAAGACAATCAATTATAGAAGCTTAAAATTGTTCATTTCTTACGAACAAATATTGAAGAACCTAACCCATGACCTATAAACCCTTAAGTTTAAATTCCATTGCTAATGTAAAAAATTTATTAATGAGCAATTTATAAATACTTTGTAAACAGTATAAGCCTGAAAGCATGCCTCAGTCTCAGACCCACTAACCTAAACATTTTCTTTGTACCCAAAAAAAAAAAAATTGTTCCTTTCTCTCCATTCCTTATTTTTAAATAAAATAATTTTAAAAAATCCAAACTCAACAATGAAATTATAAGTTCAAATTTCATTGCTAATGTAAAAAATTTATTCATAAGTGATTTATAAATACTTTGTAAACAGTATAAGCCTGAAAGCATGCATCAATCCCAGACCCACCAAGCTAAACATTTTCTTTGTAAAAAAATTGTTCCTTTCTTTCCATTCTTTATTTTTAAATAAAATATTTTTTTTAAAAAAAAAAAGCCAAACTCAACAATGAAAGAAGTTGGACTACGAGGACAGGTGGGTGAGAAGAAACAAGGAGCTGACAATCCAAATAAATGCAGGCACCGACAGACACACAAGCACCTCAAGCACAGAAAGAAAGCAAAGGACCTTACCTGCTCCCCTCAAGAGAGGTTTTTTTTTTTCTTTTTTTTCTTTCCTCTTTCCACTTTTCTTTTCTTTCTTTCTTTTTTTCTTTCCAAAACAATTTAAGAAAGTAAGAACGCAGCCATAGTCATATCAAAGCCCTCACCACAATTTTGCAATCTGCATGCTTAGAAAATATACAAAAAAATATTTAAAATTAAAAAGACCCAAAAAAAAAACCTATAGGCATCATACTAAAAAAAAAAAAAAAGAAAATATTAATCATAATCATAATCATAATGCTAACTCATCAGCATGCAAGCTAAAAACACCCTCCACAATCTATATATGGATGATCTGGGCTGGTTTACTGCTTCAGATTGGTTTGCTTGTGAAGCAATTAACAGCAGGCCACTAAGCATGTGGTGGCAGGTTTTACTGCAACCACTATATCATCACTGCCACTGCCGCCGCCACTGTTGTTGCTACTCATGCATTGCACATTAGCAGCTGCCACGGCTTCCAGGCGCTCCCATGTTGTCCTACGCCTCTCAGCTGCGGCGCTCAACGTCGACTCTTCCTCCTCCAACTTACATTGGCAGGCAGCTACTAGATCCTCGTCCATTTGCGACAGTGTCTTCCTCACATTCTGAGTCAGGCTCAGCACTGCTTGGTTCCAGTGGTTTTGGGCATTATGTACAAGGGCCGACAACACCATCGGCAGCAACACTTGCCGGTTTTCCGTGACAAGATTAAGGATGTGCTCATTGTTCCATAGCAAGAGGGCTCGTTCCGCCACCTGCACAAACAAAAAGGAATTTACCTGATCAGCACCTTTTTTTTTTATCGCTTTTTTTTATTGTTTACAAGCATTCTCCTATTGGAAACAATCATATTGAGGTACGATCGAAAACTAAATATGAACATCTCTTTCAATAGGGATTTAAACCTTGATTTGTTACATTGTGACATACTAACCCCTTCCACTAAATCTAACCGTCATTAAATTTTGTAATTACATTAGGAAGGTTTGAATCTAAACCTCTACTAGCACCTCACTTCACTCCACCCACCTTGTCCATATGGGTTAAACTCAAATTAGCACTCTCGAAAGAGACATTTGATTAAAATCTACAACAAATGATCCCAAGATTAAACCTAGGAGCCTGTTTGGTCTACTTTATTAGAAGTAATAAAAAAAAAAACAGATAGAAATGGTTAAACAATGATTACAATTCAAGAGCACAAAAAACATTGCAAGGAAGGAGAGGAAACCGGATTACTTTTTTGCTATTAGAAAATACAATAGTTGACTTGTTAACAGAAGTTTCTCCATTTATTTATTTAGTAGTTATTTATTTTGGTAATTCACTTATTGCGTTTTATTGAAGAATCTAAGAAAATATTTAAGAAATAGAACTAGATTCATTCTTTTCTTGAAACGAATACCATGGATTTGATTCAACAGGCTCAAGAATTAAAAATACGAAGAACAAGAACAATGAAAACGGCCCTAAACAACAACAGAAGATTAATAAATTAATCTGAATCTGATTAGTTAAATCACAGCGAAACATAACATCAACCATCGGTGCAACGAGTAAGTTGATATGATTAAGGTGATGTCTCAACTTCCAGCTTCTTACCAACCACCGGCCATATAAATATTCTCTTCAGCTGGTGGAAGAAAAGATGATATTGCAATAGGACAAAAGTTCAGAGACACAAATACTGACTTCTATAAGAAAACTATAAGCATTTTCTCATGCATAGCACAATATCTTAAATAAGTCTTACTATTCATATCTTACAAATATTGTAGCTTATTATAAATTTTATAGTTTGATGGGTACCTAGATAGATGGGAAACCCTACCCCAAAAGCTAGCTGTTTAGGTGGGAGGACTAACCCCACTTAAATACACATTAAGCATGCCATACTGCTCAATGTGGAACTCTGTCCCAATGCCATACTACCAACTCTCCATCATATTTTATATTGATTCAGGCAAAAAGATGTGCAGAGTTAAGAAACTACCTGGTAGTTTAAACTATTTAAGCAGTGACATATACGGTGAAATAGTGGGACCATGATCTTCTGAAATTCAAGCATGCTAGTCATTTCCAGAACCTCTTCCAACTCACTCAAGAACATTAGCTCCTTTTGGCTATTTGTTACTGGCCAGTACTTCAACAGCCCCTTTATCACAATGCTAGCCAGTTTTTGATCCTTCTCTACGAACTGTGCAACACAATATGTTAGCTGCTGGTGATAGATACCCAATGATCTCGGCTTGTGCAGAGGAATCAAAGCCCTAACCAAAAATGTCTTGTGCTCCTCCTTCAATGGCAAGGCAAACCCACTAATTACACTCCCAAAAATCTCCAACAGCTCAGCAATGCCATTATGGCGTTCTGTCTCAAAAACAAAACAGTAGATGATATTGCTAACAGATTTCCTTATAAAAGTCCTGTGTACCATGAATTTGCCATAGATCCGATGCAAAATTGTCTTCAAGCAATCTCTTTCTCTAGGGTCTTCAGAATCAAAAAGTTCAAGTAATCTCAAGATAAAAGCATGGTCAATGTACATTTTTGCCAGCTTCACATCAAGAGAGTTGTAGTTAATGAACTGGAGGAGTAGATCATAAACAATTTGCAGGTGGGACCAGGCTGGATCAAACATTGGTTCTTCATCTTCTGCATCACCGCCATTTGAATTGGTCCGAATCTTGGGAGGGAAAACCCTGAACAAGTTACTTGCACACATTTTACACACTGCAGCAATTACTGGTTCTGTAAACTTTGCAGACCCAGAAGAAACAAAGTCAACAAGATCTGTCAACGTTTGACGTTTATGATCTTGCTCTGCACAGTTCATATCCAGATCACTCATATCATAAACTTTGCAGCAAAGATTCAGCTTACTAATAAACAAGTTTTGCTTCTGTGTATTTGAAACGTCTTTGAAGGATAAATTGGGGTCAACGGCTTCTACTCCAGCGTTCATGCTTGCTGGGAAAACCACCGAAGATACTCGCTTGACAACATTCAATTTGCTGGAAAAAGTGCTCCCTACATTTGTGCATTGAAAGACATTCCCAAAACTAGTAGAATTCCCAGAATCACCCTGGGCAGAATCAGACGAATCAGATTTCGGCACCTTCTTAGGCAATTTGCTAAGAATCTGCTTTAACATAGTGACAGTGCCACAATCCTAACAGAAGCAAGACCTGCAATCAATTTATCACTGTTAGCCACAAACATATGTCCCATTCTTTTTCTATGATTTCTAAGACTGTACAAACTTAATGTAATCATTCATCAGCACATTGACAACTATGTGAAGCAAGGCTTGTTTGAGACTATTAGACATGTAACAAACACCAACATATAGATTAGAGCAGAGCAAATACCAGTAAGAACTTAAGAAATGGGATAGATAAAATGAATACTTGAAAAAAAAATTAATCACAGGCTTGCTATGCTTTTAAGAGATGGATAGAGAAAGATCAATAGAGAAATAGTACTCTTTCCATATGAAGAGCGATGTGTACTGATGTACGAAGTGAATTGAAGATAATCATAATGAATTTATTCCAACCAAAGCATTGGAAAGTCTATTAAGATACGTAAACAACAAATTCCAGCCACATCTAATACATGTTCGCAAATTTCTCCAAAGAGATTTTACTGAATTTAGCACATATAGCACAACATTTCAATTTTTTTCAATCTACGAACAACAATTAAGAATATAGCTACACTAATGTCTTTCTCAGACCTGCGTAAGCCAGATCAAGTTCATCTACATATTCTGGAAACAAGAAAATGAGAAGGATAAACCCACAAGAAAATTCAAATATTTGGAGCAACAGCATCAACAGTGTAGGGAAACAGCGAGATCTGAGACTAAAATTAGCAGAAAATAGAGAGGAAGCACAACCTCTTGAGGAATCACTAAAGCACAATCAGTACAAGGAAAAAAAAGAGTCAATCCATGAAAACAATTCAGTCAAAATCACTCATATCAGCACATTTCAAGAATCCAAACTCTGAAATTGAAAGAGAGAAGAAGCCGAAACAGTACCAACCAGATTTCTGAGGGGAAAACCCACTTGGGATTGCAGACCCACACTTTTATCTCCAGAGAGATCAAGAAACAAAAAGATGGGTTTGTTTGTCAGTAAAGCAGAATCGTCTTCCTATATTACTTCTATTTTCTTTGGGGCAGTGAGGACAGAAAATGTGGTGAGAAAAACCGGGTTTTGATCTGGAAGAATGGAGACCCCATCTCTGAAATTCCACGATCGATCATCGCCATGAATGAATGAATGAATGAATGAATGGAGGAAGAAGCGACAGAAGATGGACTTTCCTCGATTCAGGAGAACAAAAAGCGATGCGACAGGTTACTCTAAACTGTGGATACAGCAGTCCCAGTCATGAGTCCCTCGCATACCCTCGATTCCACTAACGTAAAATAAATAGAGCTGATAATAACACGTGTGTTTGTTTGTGTGTGTGTGTGTGTGTTTTTTTTTTTTTTTTATCTTTACGGTGTAAATGTAAGTCAATATTTGGTTAAATTATTAAATTGTTAAACAAATGTTTTGACTAATTTGATCACTTTGATCCTCATTCAACCAAGGTTTTTTATGCTTAATCCTTAAACAGTGACTTGACCGTTCAATCAGCGTTTCATTCCTTTATTATTATTATTTTTTTGGTTGATTATATATATAGATTGAATAACCATGAAACTTTTTCCTTTTTTTTTTTTTTGGCAATTGCACGTTGTTGGCAAGTTTTCTGGGTTCCGGCCCGGCAATTCTTGATTTTCACGAAAATTTGAACCGTCTTTTACAAGAGGAAATATTCGCGGTCAAAGTATGGAAGATTATTTACCAAAAGTGTTCAATTTAAGAAAATTTAATTTAATACAGATATTTTCTTTTTTAATAAATAAATAGCTACTACGTCTTTTGAATATTTTTAAAAATGTGTTTAGATTTTTTATTGCATATATACAATAGGTAGGAGTGTAATCCCGCTAAACTTTTTTTTATTAGTTATAAATACCCTTTTATTGGAAACAAGGCAAGATACTAAGTAAATTTAAGAAATATGGATGCATTATTGTTAAAAAAAAAGAGTTATATTTTATTGTAAAAAAAATCAAGATATATGATTATATAATTATTATACTCCCTCCCATTCTGTTTTTTTTTTTTTTCAAGCCACTCTTCTAACTAATTCACCAAAATTAAAGTGAGTTAGTTAAAATAATAAAATTATCTTAAAACAAATGGCTTTCTAATTTTGCCCCTAAATTTAAAAAAGAGTGATTTGATGTGTTAGAAAAAAAATTGAGAATTAAAATATTATACTTCTCTTAAGAATTTGCTTGAAATTGTACATCAATGTTTTATAAAGAATAATAACTTACATAAAGGGCCAAGAAATCCTTGTAAGATATGAGTAACAAATAGAAGTGGAGGGAGTAAATATTAACTAGTTGCAAAATCCATTAAAATTGGTGTAATTAGTAAAAACTATCGTGACTTAAATAGGTAATTTAATATTTGAATCTCAATTCTTGTGTATGTAACAATTTAGTTGAGAAATATTTACTCATTGCTTTGACTATCTTAAGCAGATATATTATCGGTAGATCTTACTCCTTATACTTAATTTTAAAAAAATTAAATAATTGAGCTCTTGTATTTTGTGTTCCCCTTCTATGCATGGCATGCGAAAATTATGACTCTTTATAGGTTTATTTGGTAATATAATGACTTTATACTAAATGTTACCATATTACATCCAAGTATTTTTAAGGTTAATTCATATAACTCTACTTATATAATAATCACTAAAACACTTTTGAACTTTGAGAAAATTACACAGAATCCTCTCCATTTTAAAAGCTTAAAATTAACTTCTTCAATCTTTTTTTACCACAAATTACCCTATTGCTATTTTTTTAATTATCTTATTAATAAAAATTATCATGTTAAATTAAAAAAACACATAGTAGTTTATTAGCATCTAACGTAAGCCAATAATGATAGAAAAATATGCATACAATTTTTATAAATCTATTATTAATTTATATTGAATGCCACATAAGTTACGACATGTCTTTTTTTTTAATATAATATGGAAACTTTTGCTAGTGAAATAATTAAAAATAATATTAGGAGAATTTGTGTTAAAAAATTAAAAGTTAAAAAGATAAATTTTAAACACTTAAATATGAACGAGTTCTTTGCAATTGCATCAAAATTTAAAAATTTTTTGTTTATTTTAAAATATAATAATTAGGTATAAATTTTATGTGTGTGTGTATGTGGATAAAAGAAAATTAATTACATGGTTCTTATAATTTTTAATTAAAAATAACAAAAGCAATTGGACTAGGATATAAATGCTAAAATAGTTTTCAAGTTGAATTTGTCATTTAGAAGAGATTAGCACATATACACAAAGCAATCCACAATGTAAATGATTTTATTGTTCATCAATCAATACCACGAAATTTAAATAAATAGACAAAGAAGGCAAAAAAAAAAAGGGGCCAACAAATTAAAGCATTGAGCCCCAGAAGATATTTTACTTTATAATTTTTTTACCATGCCTTTTTATTCCGGATGCAAATCGAATCATATAATTATCACGGAACACTCCAAAAAGAAACGAGTGATGATTTAAATTTAGTGGCTTTTTTGTCTGTATTTTATTTTTTATTGATTAATAATATCTTTTCAATTTTTTTATTTCGCCTGCAGCAAAAAGTTGATGCTCATAGATTTCTTTTAAATTATTTAATGAGTGACTTTTGGTGTCCACTTTATTAGGATTTTGTTCTCAATTCGTCAACTTTTAAATGTAAATATATAATATAATAATTTATTTTAATGAGGAATTTTATTTAAATGTCTAAAATGATAGTATTATTTTGAATAGAATATATCTATTTCTACGAGAAATAAATAAAAGACATAATTAAGTTTAATTAAGATTAAATTTTAAATGCAAAGTGCTGCCAAGGGAAAGTAAACTAGAAAATTTAGGAACTTTTATTTTTAAAAATTATTTTGAAATTACTTTTTGATTTTTTTTAAAATAAAAGAAAAGAAATATTTGTTTGATTATGGGTGTGTTTGGTTTACCCTCAATCAAAGGTGGGTTGATCCAACCTTTTTTTTTTTTAACACCCGCCCGAGGGGGGTTTAAACTCATGACCCAAATTGATGTCTTGTTTGGGAAACAAAAGGCCAAACAAAGTTTAGGGCAAAATGGGCATTTCAAGTGACAAACAACATCAGAGATGTGGTGCCATTTTGAGGAGCAAATACATGTTCTTCACTCTAAGGTCATGTTTGATATAAAGAAATGAGGGAATGGAACTAGAATTGGGACAGACTAATCCCAAGCTTTTGTATTTGGTATGTGAGAATAAAAAATTTTAACCTCAATCTCAATCCCACCAAGGTGGGATTATTCAATACCACCCCCTAGTATTGCAAAATAAAACCTGAGATTGATTTTTGTAAAGACCAAAATGCCCTTACCCCTATCTCCTGTGCACTTCATCTTCTTCCTTCACTGGTTCAAGTGTCCAGATCCAACTTCTTCAGTCCTAGAGTGGAAATAATGGAAAGAGAAGGTGAGATGGAGGTGAAGAACATGAAGGACAATAGAGAGAGAATGGAGAAGGGTAGCTGCCAAAAATGAGGGTAAATGGAAGAATAAATGTTGAAAATGAAATTAGAGTAGCTTGATTCAAGTTTAAGGTGAATGGGCCTAACTCAAATATTAGGTGAATGGGCCCATCTCAAGTGTTAAGTGAATTAGTGAAAAATGAATTATGGTAATTTTAATTTTTACCATAGTAATATGGACAAAAATTTAGAGTAAAATGATCTAAAAATTGAATTACATAAGGCTAAAGATAATGAAAAATTGAGAGAGAGAGAGAGAGAGAGAGAGTAATGAAATCAAAAAATGATACAATCTGTGAAAGACCATGTAAGGCTTGTACTTTCATCTCAAAACTCAAGTGTTTTGCTTCTTGACTCATCTAATATTTCAATCCAATGGTCCTCATGTGTCAAATCCAAGGGTACATTCCTCCACAAATAAATGTGACATACAAAACTAAAGTTCAAATCATATAGATAATATTTACATTTTCCAATTAAAATTAATTTTCAAATATGTGATAAAATGTAATTAAATAATAAAAACTAATTATGACACCACAAAAGAGGCTTTAAGGCGTGGCCTACAGTCCAAAAGTTGTAAGCCACCTATGCACAACAATGACCTAGCCTAAATGCATGAAAACAAGTCAACTTAAAACTTTGACTTTTTAAAATAGTTAACTTGTGAAATTAATTATTCTTAATCTAAGATAAATTTTAGAAATATAATTAGATCATTTTTCTTCTGAACTAAAAAAATTATATTGACTAATTTTCTCAAACATTTTCTCAAAAACTCAATTTTATGGCCAAAATGCCCCTAATGTACAAAATAATACACTTAGGTGATTTTTTCCAATCAATGCAATAAGTGTGCAATTTGGATAACTATAACATGATTTTTGATTAATAATAATAAGAAAAAGTGCATAATAAATGTGACTTATTGGATTCCAAGATGATTAGAGGCTAAGAGCATGTTTGAATTACATTCTAACCTCAATTAAAATAGGTCAAACTGAGGTTAGGATATAAAAAGTTAAAAAAATTTTGTTTGGATTAGCAAAAATTTTCAACCATGGTTAGCATGTAAACAAGCGTTAATTGTGAAGCCCACAGACCTGGCTTTTCCTTAGCATTAACATTGTTTCTCATTGGAAGCATTAATTGCATTTCAATTTTTTATGCTTTCTCTCTCTCATCTTCTATCTACCCATAATCTCTGCCTTTAAGTTTCTTGTGCATATTGCTTCTTTGCTCTCCTGTGACCTCCTAATTTGATTCAAAACACACAACGCATAAAGTTCTACCCCTCAAATCTGCTTCACCTTCTATTAGTCATAGGTAAAGCCGTCCAGCAGCCAATCTCCACCGTGTTGAAGCACCAAGCAACCTTTGGTCAATCTCCAACTCTCTGTCATCCTTTCTTGCATCCACTGTGTCCTTATTTCAAAGTTCTTTTCTCCTTGTCATCTCTCGATCACCATGGTGGTCCACCAAATTTGGACTTCCCGTCACCAGATCCATTCCCCGTAGCTTTTCGTTGCCAAGTAAGCTTCTTCTTTTTGTCTCCTTCCTTGCCTTCCTTGCTATCATGCTCTAAAACTTCTTTTTCCTTAACTTGAATGCTTGATGATGATCCTTGTTAGGAGTTTCTAATGATCCTTATATAAATGAGAAATAATGATATCATCTAACCTTTTTTTATTCTTTTTTTCTCTGTAATTCATATCTAATAATT